ACAGACACAGTGGATGCCCAAAGATTTAAACTTTGGCTCCTGATTGTCTGTGTCACCATCTGTGGAAAAAAAAATTACTCCCTTCTAAGAGATAAATATGTTATCTGCAACATTATTAATTAAATAGCATTTGAGATTAAACTGTGGAACCTGTTTTAATAGAATATAGAAACAATGAACGAATTGTACTCGAAACTCTACAAAGAGGCTGAGAAGATCAAGCAGTGGAAACTGAGTGTGGAATCAGAACTGAACCAGAAAGAAAGAAAACTGCAAGAGAACAGAAACATTATCGAAGCACAGCGTAAAACCATTCAGGAACTGCAGGCCAGTATTGTACAATATACATTCAATAGATAGTTAAGAGAAAGTGCCTCCTGATTCAGTGTGGCAATATTAATCAGACAGTTCAGTGTTGCAGTTTGATTCGTGCCTTGAGCAAATGGTTATTTGGGAAGGGGTTTGCCCCTGTCCTGTGTGAATGTGTGTATGAGGAACACACCTGCAAAGTGATTCAGTTGCTGGTAAATTATCATTTATTATTATTATGCCTTTCATGCAAAAGATGACCCAGCATGTGATACCAGATAAAACAGACTTCTGTCCTCTCACCAGAAAATTCCTTTTTTTTTTTTTTTTTTGAGAAGTCACAGTGTATTTCTGGTATATTTTTCAGTAACAATGTCTTTTTGTATTTCTTCCCTGTGAAATCAGTTTGAAAATGAAAAACTCCATTTAAAACTAGAAGATGAGCTGTGTGAAAAGAAAGATCTCTTGAAAGAGTAAGTAACAGAGATAAATTTTTAGGGGGGAGAGGGGATGAAAATAATTAGCTTTCATGCTGAGAACTGTGCTGGTGTGGGCAGTTACATAGAGCTGGTAAATTGTAAAGGTTATTTACACTGTTCTTTACACAAAGCACTGCACTCTGGTGACAACATACAATGCTCTTTCCCCCTCTTTCAGAAGCGCAGCTTCGAGGCACCTGTGCAACCTGCTCAAGGAGACCTGCACTCACTTCACGGAGAAGACCGACAGATGTAAATGCTTCTTGAATTTGGATTTGTAAAAGCCAGTGTATTTCTCCTCAGCAGAAAGAAGCTGTCCTGCTGTTCTGGTTGTGTTCTGTGGTTCAGATAAACTGTTTGTGGCTCTTAAAAGGAGAAGTGGGTTTGAGGTGGCTCCCAAAGTTAGAAGTGAGGCTGTGGGTGTGACACAGATGCTCTGTGATGTCACCCCCAGAGTGACCAGCATTCTCCTCACTAAAGCTGACCCAGCCAGGACAGCTGGAGAACTTCATGAAAATTAAATTAATGAGGGTCTGAAAGATATTCTGGACTGGGGATTTTGGTTCATATGCAATTCAGAATTGGTGTTAAAATCGTTAAACTTTTCCAGACTGGATCCCAGATACTTAAGAAGTGTCTTGTTTCTTTTCAGCCTTAATTCTGGAAACACCTGTGTATGGATGCACTGTTCTTCTTTGATAGCTGTGTTTCCTACTGATCTCCTCTATGATTGTTTTCTTAGGGAAAAATAGTATCAATTAGAAAAATAAAACAAAAAAAGGAAAATGTGGACAAGGGGTGTTGTCACGAGTCTCTAATGACAGTTCTGAGGTCACAGGTATCTCTGCTGATGGGAAGAAATTTAGTGCTAAACTCTATATTAGGGTTTATCAAGCAACTAACGCTTTTGATACATGAATATTCAACAACATTAATAGTATAAGAATGAATATAGTTTAAAAAAATTGATCCAGAAGTACGCTTTTCACAGAAAAAGTGAGAGTGGGAAGGAACTTTAAAAGCTGAGCTTGCTTGGTGTTTAATGGAACATACATTTTCCCTAGATTGTATAACTTTTGGCACTCTGATTCATAATTACTGGTTTTTAATAAGAAAAGAGCTGATAACAACTCCTCTTTTAATTCATTATGCTGATTAAACATAAGGGCTTGGGCAGCTGGTATTCTTTTTCAAAAAAAATTGCTTTGACAGATGAACAGGAGAGAGAAGAGACGAGACAGCTGTACGAGGAACTCCACAGCAACGTGGAGGTGAGTGAGGTGTTGGAGTTACAGGGGTGTGCTTTTTCTGGGGGGATACTATTTGTATCCCTCACCTGTGGGTGATTCATCTGAACTCCAAATGCTGACTTTTTTTTTTTTTAATTTTTTAAATTTTTTTTCAGAGAATGACGGCGGCGTTCGAAGAGCTTCGCGTGCAGGCGGAGAACGACAGACTGGAAATGAGTTTCAAACGTGAGGGTTCTCTTTGTTGGGCTTGTTCTTCAGGCACAGCAGTTGGGTTGCTCGTGGCTTTTGTTGCACCTGCGGTGTCAAAGTGTGAAGTGCTCAGGTGGTGAGCAGGTGGCACTGGGACACTCTTTTATTCCTGCTGCCTGCCATTCACTGCCTGGCCCTTTGGTTGTTCCCCTGGGCCAAATTTGGAACTTTATTTTTGAAATAGCCACTCAAAGCCCAAGGTTTCTCTGCGAAGAATCTGCAGATCACTACTTATTTTATGTAGTTGGTATTTAACTGATAATGCCCTAGTGTTGAGCTGCAGGAACTTCATTAAATACTTGTTTTATATAGGTTACTATGTGCCTGTTTAATCTTTACATGG